CGTTGTAATAAAAAACAGGCCTTTACTCAACAAAGTAAGTCACTGAAAAAGGTTGGTAACAAACATTGGCACCAGTATCAAATCATTTCAAATCAATCTCCACATTTTTTCTGTGCAGCATTTAAGTTTAAACTGCTCTAGTCCTTAAAGAATAAAAAAAATTGGTTAACCTTTTCAAATCTATTACTTGTTTAAATAATCCATCAAGCAAAACATGTCAAACATCATCAGGCTGAACTGTGACGATTTGCTGCTGCTTCTTTAATAATTGTCAAATTAGTTGATAATGACAAACGGCAGTAATTTCAGCCCTAACCTGCTTAGTAGATTTTCTCCTTAAAATGAGATACATGCAGTTAACATTCTAACATGTGGCACATTTAAGTTGATAAATATATTTGTCTGTAACATAAAAAGGCAATTCCATGTCTGGGAATGGACAGCGTGTTTCAGGTAGCTTCTGCCACTGTGGATGGTTAAAATTCACTCCCAACACTCTGTAGGCTCATATTCAGTGTAAATGAAATGGGGGCAGTCATCTTAATCGGTCCTTTTGTTGTTTATTGATTGTGAAGAATTACGATATAGCACTGAAATAAATCAGTTGACAGGAAATGGTGACAGTGTTTGGGGATTTGAGATTGCTTAGGTAAGCTATTAGAAGACATCTCTACTGTGACAGGCATCTGTAATACTTTTTGACTTTTTATTAAATAATTGTGATCAATATCTGAGAATAAAGATAAGCAATAGGTGCAGCCATTGAAAAGACATTTCACTTTACATTAATGTAAACACCTGTTTTAGTCATATTCAGCTGTAGTCTTGCTACATCTATATCTCAGAATACATTCACATTCTCAGAAACTCAGTGCCCCACAATAAAACACACTGAGGTACAGCTGACTGCTTAATTTACACTTTACATCTCATAACATAATTCACACAAAAAAAAGGTTCAGACAATAACCCAAAATCTTAAACTCGCAGACAGGGAGAGGACGGACAGACAGACAGTAGATGTTTTATGATTATCTACACTAAGTTAGTCAACTCAAATGTAGGGCTGGGACTGCATATTAGATGTTAACAACCAGTGTTCACTTAATGATTGCTGAGCAGTGGGAGGAGATGGAGGAATATGTGGACTTCTTAAAGCATTCACATTTCTCCACAGGCAACTATTTTCCCTAATTCTTCCATATGGGAAGATTCTGGGTGCCTGTGTTCCTAAGAACTGTTATAGGCTACATGAATGATAGTTTAAAAGTTAAACTATGCAATTACTATTTTAAGTTTTGCAGGAAAATTTCCCTTACCTACATGAAACCACGCCAGCTCTTTATATGGCTCACTGTATATTCTGGCATGTTTGTAGTGACTAAGTGCGGATCTATTTTTGAAACTAATCTATTTAAGGCTTTTATTAGTTATTAACACCAACTGTTGAGCCCAATCTTACAGAGAATCTACGGTAACACTTTAGTTTCATTTATAAGGGGATGAAGTTGGTTATTAGGGAAATTATCAGCAGGATATTTCAATAACTGCACATAACATTGGATCTCCCGAGCTGTGTCGCAGGCTGCTAACATGGCAGCAGGGTGACAGACTGGCGAGCCTGCGGAAAACTGCCGAGTCACCGGGGTTCCTAGTAAACCGAGGAGTTATGTTTGCACAGAATTTAGACTGTATTTACTGTTTTAGTCTCAAAGTTCAGTCTCAAGAAGAACTAGCTGCTTCATTTTAATACGGTTGAAGTGCAATTTCGATGCGTAACTTTATCCGGAGTGGGCTGGGGTCTTTGGGGAGGGGGCTGTGACTGGGGGAGTGTCCGCTTCCTCAACTTACTGTTATTTCTTAAAACTGTTTAGTAGGGAAATATTAAACAATTCTTCTAATGTTAACGTTAGCAAAACGTCTCTGCCTATACGTAGAAACGGCTTGGATTTTTTACCGACCTGCCTAAAAGTAGAAAAGAACAAAAAACAGAGAAACACTACGGTGTAAAGCTGGGTTTGTAATGCGAAACGGCCATTGTTTCAAACAGCAATTCATTATAGCCTACTAAGCAGGTCACACAACTGTAAAAACAAACTCACTCAGAAGCAGTTCGCTTTCTTTCCCTCCAGCTAAGTTACAACAAGCCAACCAGTAACTGTTATAACGTTATTACTTAACCATAATCCAAAAATAAATAACTTACTTATTTCATGTATAATAAAAACGAAATAAAATACTGAATGACTGATTGCTTACCTTCCCATCAGAAAAACTGTCCAAAAGAGAAATTGTTTTAACATAGTCCTGTCTTACAGTTATTATGAAAAAAGAAATGAGGTGGTGTGTAAATGTATTTGAAGCCGGACTCTCATTCTGTGTCAGTGAAGGATTTGAAAGTGGCGCCAACCGTTTTGCTCCTCTTCTCCCCACGCAGCCGTCACACACAGAAAAAATAAATAGAAATTCAAACACGCACGCAGCAATATTTCATCTGTATCAAAATGTGCCTGTCGACCAGCACAATCGATCCTTGCCGTTACTTTTGAATAATATCGCTTCTGTGATTTTTATTTATTTTTTGATGTTAAAATAAAATTACCATCGATGGCTTTTCTAGGCCGCGGTGCAGGACGGGAGATTGTGCGTGGCGGTTGTGTTTTGAATTTCTAACCGGTCCAAGAGAGAGGAGAGCAGTGTCTCCCCCTGCAGGGGCTCTGTCTGTCTGTCTGTCTCTCTGTCGCTCTGTCTGTCTGTCTCTCTGTCGCTCTGTCTGTGTGTGTGTGTGTGTGTGTGTGTCTGTGTGTGTGTCTGTGTGTGTACTTTTGTGACTTACCCATCTTTATTTGTCCTATGGTCAAGTCAAACTTTATACATAGGCCTATGTAATAGCGAGTGTGTGCATGTGAATAGTTAAAGTTGACATCAAATAGATTTAACCTCTCCTTGTCTTATTTTTTATGTACATGTTGCAAAATAATAAGCAATAAAGACATACTATTGCAATGCCATTTTTATTTTAGTAATCAAATATGACCACTAAACATGATTATGTTATAAGTTAATGTAGTCAGTGGCAAAATAGTTTCCCCACATCTGCCAAAATACTCTCAACTCTCCCTTCACCAACTGTGCACAGCAGAGGGCGCTAAAAACACATAATAAATGATGGTAAATGGGAAATTGATAAAAAAAAAATCAATATTCATGATAAGTACAAGTCATACCAGTGAGACATTCTCATTTTGCATTATAGTGTTTAGATATTAAAGACATAATAGACAATCAGACGTATATATCTGAGCAGATTTAGCCCCTCATAACACAGGAAAAACTCACTTTAACACTTTACTTGGAACCCAATGTTTACACATATAGCAATAGTATATGCTGTACATTGGTAGTACAGTGGAAGGTCCCAGGATGTGGCTGAAAGCTTAAGAAACATCACGGCCCCTCTGTCAACATTTTTGTGTTTTGTATACTAACATTTCCCCTGCTGCCATCATCTATTCAATCCTTTGAGCGCTAAGGGAATGAGCTAACCATACATCTTCTGAAATTAATTTTGAATGTTCCTTTGCTGTGAATGACAGCCATGGGGATGTACAGTGTGTGACATTAACTCATTTGCTTTATTTGCATGACCAGTATAAGTATAATATTGCTATAACAGTTTGTACAAAGTTTAATTCAATTCAGTTTTATTTACTTAGCGCCAAATCATGAAATAAATTATCTCAGGTCACTGTTCACATAGAGCAGGTCTATACCATAATGTTTCTAATATTATACTGAAACCCAAGAACTGACTTTTTTGATACCACTGCCGGATGGTGACAAGATTGGAAACAAGCAAAAAAGAACACAGTGACTAATTCAAATTTTACCCATGATCTAATTGGTACCATTTTGAGATGAGAACAGTTCCTAAAATCAAAATGTGTTTTCTGTTTCTACACTTTGTTCAGAAATTCCTGATAGTCAGACGTTTGAAACCTAATGACGATGATCTCTGACCTTTCCTCTAGTTACACCAACAGGTAAAATGTCCATTTGTCAAACATATCAGTTTAAGTCAAGTCAAGATTTATTTAAGTAAATGATCACACTAAGCTTTGTGTTTACAAAAAACAATATTACCAAAACTACTCTCACTGTAAGCAGCATTAATAGATCATTAAGAGAAAAAGGAGCATACTGTATACAATAAGAGTGATACAGTAATAACAACTGGTAACAATGATAATGATAAAATTATTTAACAATTAAACCAATGTAGATTAACATTAACAATGACTAAGCTCAGGATGAGGCTTACACACATCTTGAACCAGACAAATAAAATGCTGTGGGTCATTACATAGACAACATGAGGGTTTTAAAGTGGTGGTATTATGCTTTTTGGCTTTTTCCCTCTCCTTTTTTGAGTTATATACCTTTTTTGTGCATGTAATAAGATTGCAAAGTGAAAAAGCCCAAAGTCCAGCCCAAAGGGAGTTCCCATCTCCCACAGAAAGCTCTGCTCTGAACTGCTTGAAAACAGCTCATTTGTAGTCCAGCCGCTTCCCTTTCATCCTTCACATCCTTCACGTCACAGTGATTAAAGCTAAATGCACCTCATATAATGCTCGCCAAGAAGCTAGTCCGACACACCCTCAGAAACACCAGTGGAAAAACAGTGAGCTGCAGCACACCTCTCGTCTCCCTTCCAAACACTAGCTACCCTCCAGGCAGTCAGTGGACATGAAGTTGTTACTGTGATGTAGAGACAGAGCTCAGTTAAAACTTTATGGATGAAAAATACTTTTGTTACAGATTAATAACTCAGCACTCTGAAACTCTTGCTCCAGTTGCCTGTACATGTTGCCAAGCTGGTCGGCAACATGTACAGCTGAACCGAAGCCGTGTTTGCTTCTCACTGACCCAGCCTTCTCTGCTTCTGATTGGCTAGTAGTCCTTAACTAGGAACTGTGAAACTCCCAACAAAGATCATTTAGAGATAAGATGTATCACTCCATAGCTAAAACGAAGCCTTCAACACAGGGTGAAAAGAGGAGCTGCAGTAATGTGCATGAAAAATGATAATTAAACTATGTAAACCTGTTCTGATAAAAAAATTAAAAATTTGAAGACATGGCATTGGCATGTGTTACTATACTACAACTATGAAATTTAAATTTTTAAGGGCCAGATTGATATAAGCCAGATTGATTATATATATATATATATATAGAGAGAGAGAGAGAGAGAGAGCATTTCCTCAGATTTTATCGCATTTTATTTTGCTATGTTAGAAGTTCTCCAAACTAAGTTTTCAAACTAAACGTAACCGCACCAACACACTGTCAAAGGCATTTTCATAAAACACTAACATACGGAATGTCACAAAAAAACCCAAAAGAATAGTAGAGCGTGTTACACTACTAACAGGAGACTTCCTCAGCACAAGTGGAAAAACGCTCGATAGTTATCATGTGTTTACAGCCCCTAGAGGCTCCATAAACACCCTGTCAAACAAAACAACAGATTATCATCATTTATCACATTTGCATTCATGTTGTATCTACTCACTAGTGCAACTTTCAAAGTATGACTTTTAGCAGACCAGCAATTAGACACATACAATTAGAGATAAAAGGTATATTAGAATTAGAATTCTTGCAGTCTTTAATCATTGATTTTGGTACAGTGCTTAAATTATATAATATTTTGTTTTCCAGTAAAAGACAACCTACAGCACATCTAAAATTCTTTATTTCATTCCTCATGAAAAAATTCATTCAACTATATATCTGACTTTTGCTCTGTTCATGTATGATTGACTATTAAATGCTTTGTTTTCCTTATTGTCAATTCCGTTTTCCATCCCTCCCTCCTCTGCGTCCTCTCCTTTTCCCTTCATCCTCAGTGGCAGCAGATATCCACCATGTTGTTGGTTGGTGGTGTTTACTGCCTGGCAGCAGTGAGCTCCCCCCTTGTCTTTAGTCAGGAAGTAAAGGAGGGCATTAAGCCATGCGTTGAATGATGCCAGTGGCCTTGTGATCTTATAGCACATGGAGACCATGGTCATGGTGTGACAAGGAACTCCCTTGGCCACTTTCAGCAGGAGGAAGATGGTTCTAGTTACATGAAAGGGGAAGAAACACAGAGCAAAGAGAAGGGTAATGGTAATGATGGTCTTAATAGATTTACGTCTGCGATTAGCATAAGGAGAGCGGGCGCCAAGGAAAACTGAAATTCCTTCATCTCTTCCCAGTACCCTCGACGGTCCATTGCTTCCTCTTCTCCCTCTTCCAACTATTGCAGGTCTACTTCTCTCTCTTCGCTCCATTCCCTCATGTCCTCCCTCTTTCGGACCTTTATGGGACGAGGGCTGAGAATGCAGAGTCCTAAATATGGTCAGAACAACGTGAGAGTAACACCAAGCAATTATTGAAAAAGGCACAAAAAAGCCAAGCAAATGGAGTATTACGCCATAGGGTATGTAATCAGGAAACTCTTTATCTATGGCATCGTCCCAACAGTTCTGGAACTCTTCAATGACCCCTCCCAAGTTATCATAGCTAGCATTACCCTTTATCAATGACACCTTGGGGGTGTCAATACTGCTTGCATTGCTGCCAAGAACTGCAAATCTTGTCACATGACCAGTCTGCGCAAACCTGAAGATAGGGCAGGTCAAAGCAAACACTACAATCCAAACCAGAACACAAGTGCACTTGACAGCCTTCTTGGTCTCCAGTGTGATGACTTTCATTGGGTGGCAGATACCAAGGTACCTGTGGACAGAGATGCAAGTGAGGAAGAAGATGGAGCAGTAGAGGTTAAAGTAGAACAGAAAACGGACCAGGCGGCACATGAAGTCCCCAAAAACCCAGCGGTCACGCATGATGTAACTAGCCACAAGGAATGGCAGTGACAGGCCGTACATGAAGTCTGTAGAGGCCAGGTTGACCATGTAGATCAGTGAAGCATTCCAGCGCTTGGTCCGGCTGAAGGAACGGTAGAGGATGACAGAGTTAAGGGAAATGCTAAAGATGAACGTGAAAGAGTAACAGATGGGGAGGAAGATGTACTTGTAGGACTCATCTATGCTGCAGGACGGAGATGGAGGGATGGTGGAGGGAAAAGATGAGAAGGAGCCGAAGAAGTCATGGAGTACAGAGACACTGATGTTGTGAGGAACTCCACCTCTGGATGACATTGTGAGGCACTTAGTGATTTTCATGTGAGGGAGACGTTTAACAAGGCTGTAGCTTGTACATTAGGGATTCTGTCAAGCTTCTTCTCTGTCGTCCTTATACTCTGTACCATTTTATGGTAATTTTGTATGATCCTGTAAAGTCGATTTTCAGGTGATTTCAGATGGTCAAATCCATGAGTGGGTGTTCACCTACAGATAAAGAGATAAATTAGTCATCCATCTATAGTCATTTAGGATCTCACTTCATCTGATACACTATATCTCAGCCAAGTATTTTACTGGATCTTTGCAAAAGTAATCAGTGACTGCTTTCTATTGGTTTTGATGATTCTGCTTATTGCTGGTTCAAATCAAATAACTGCAGTAGAGTTCATTTTTGCCAGTTGTTTCAAATCAAGTCTATATGGTTGATAAACGATCATCATTAGTTAACCCCCTACTAATTACTCTATAGATAAATAACATTAATTTTTCAACTGAGAACTTCAGTGTCCATTTTTATGCTGATGATACACTCTCATGCCATCAATGCTACCTCAAACCAACCAGGCCTCTTCCAGCTTACACAAAGCTTGTTCAAAACTCCAAAAATATTTTGTGTTTGAGTTTGTCATCTTTACATAGGTTGCCTATTTGTTGTAGAGTGGAATTTAATAATCACCTGTTTGCTTGAAAAGTTCTGCATACCAACTCTGAACTTGGAGAGGCTAGTTTCTGATATTATGCAAATTTCTACTCAGATTCACTGAAAACAAAATAAGTTAACACCCATTCCTCTGAGGAACCTGCTAATATTTTTAATACTGTAATTTGTTCTAATTCTCTCTTTCAGATTCTGCAATAGTACCAGTAATGATAAAGAGATGGCATTTGTGAACAAGGTAAGAAACCAACTGTATAAGTAGCAAACACCATACACTTACTCTAAATTCTCAAATAGTGGCCAAGGCCTTTATTCACCTCAACTGCTGAGATAACCATTCATTTATTAAACAGGCTTATAGCAGAGACCTTCATTTCACACTTTCAGTAAGAGGTCTCAGTGATCTGCCTGTTACAATTTTCTGTTAAACCAAACTTCCTCCATGTTCAACCATTGTCTATCATATATTTTTATTACAGATACTGTTAAAAAAGACTCCTAATTTTGATCAAGTTGTTTTAAAATTTTTATTTAAAGATCACTGTTAAGCTATGCATGGAATGGGATGAATGAATTCTAATGACTTTGATGGTCCCTTAACTACTCCACTTAAACGTCCAGTGTGTAATATTTCTGAGGATTTATTGACAGAAATGCAATATAATATCCCTAACTATGTTTTCAGTGGTGTATAAATACCTTAATCAATGAACTGTTATGTTTTTATTACCTTAGAATGAGCCATTTCTATCTACATAACCGCGGGTCCCCTTACACGGTGGATGCCATGTTGTGTCGCCATGTTTCTACAGTAGAGCCCTGCATTTCAGCCCGAGCCCGACGGGCCCCGACTTATTTACGCCCCTGGGGCCGGGCTTCGGGCCACTTTTCACGTCATAGTTCACATGCGGGCCGGGCCTCGGGCCTTTTTTGGGTTATCCTTTTTATATTTTTAGACATTAATTAAAAGAAAATATGAGAAGTTGACGTTGACGATAGAAAACAAATATAGAAAGACATTTCATAACCTGTTTTTAACCTCTCTTATAGTTACACTGACATATGACTGACATGACAGTCTCACGCACGCACACAGAAGGTTTCTCGGTGAGATGTGCTGCTCTGGTGGAAACAGCACGAGACCCTGCTACCGCAACTGTCAAGACTGGCTCGCTCTGTCTGTTTAGTGTTGAAAAATGTTGTTTTACTCACTGTGGTTTAATAAATAAACATTTATTAAACTAACTGTCTGTGTGAACAGACTTGAAGTGTTTTGTAGCTAAGTAAAGTATTAGCATTGATTTGAGAGGCTAAATTGATCAAACATGTTTTACCCGCTGTTGGCTCGGATGCTTGGTCGTCATTAAAAAAAAATGCTCCAAACATTTGTCTAAATTGACTTAATAAAGAAATGAAACATAACTAACAAAACTGACATATTTTAATGGCTGCCAATAGGGCAGGCTGTCGCTGTGTAATGAGAAAAACAAAAAAAAAAACAGGCTCGGGCTCGGACTCGGGCTAGTAACTTTGATGAACTCGGACACGGGTCACTACGTTGAATGCGTACAAAGAAGAAGAGAAAATAATTCCAGCATTTCAGCAATAGCAGCCATCTTCAGCAACACATCAGCTGACAGCTCAGCTGATTCCTCTCTTAGCATTCATTGGCAAATTCCAGAAATGGCACCTATTTAAGCTGCCGTAGCCTACCTGCCCGTCCTTTCTGCTTCCTCAAAAGCTCATAACCCACCACCACCCCAGCTCCACTGTTCAGGCTGTATCTGATCGGGATACACAATAATATCAATCCAATAAGTATTCGCCGATGGGGCATATCTCATTATTGGAAGCATATCTGGGAATTAATTTGGCCGAATAGAATCAAACATGCTAACAAGTGCTGCTGCACTGTTGCGCTGTGGGCATATTTTGCTGTGCACGGATAGAGCCACACAGACGCAGTTTAGGCAGCGAGCTCCTGCCCTCCTTCCATATGTCTCTGTGTGATTTACTGCAGGTAACAATGTGCAGATTGAACCTACATTGCTATCTAAGCTTAACAGTTAGACTACAGACAGCTTTCATTTAGCTCGTTGTACATGTAGCTTTGCCAAGCTAGTGTGCTTTTAATAACATAGAGGATAAGAGACGTAGTCAGAGTGGATCAATTAACCCTGTCTACATGTTATGCTCGTTTAATGGATGTATCGACAAAGTTGTCTTTTACTCTTGAGGTTTTGTTGCACTTACGGCAGTGACTTGGAGTTACCTTCACTTCAACGTGTCCATGACCTATCTCTGTGCTTGCCACTGTTCGTGTGTGAGGCAACACAGAGCAGCAGAGGCTGCATCCTGATAATAAACAGAACGGTTGTCGCTAAACTTCACATTTTACTGCCCGGTTGAAAAAATGTGTATTTGGGTTGTAATGTCATGTAAAGTTAGTCCAGCGCTTTGGCTTTGCTATGTGGACAGAAATGTGCCGGTTACATTCATGAGACAATCAGCTGATTATTATTGAAAATAAAACTGTACTGCATGAAAGCTCAGATCAGCCAGCTAAACTTCACATTTTACTTCCCTGGTGGAAAATACTTTACTGCTAACAAACAGCGTTACGATAACAAGACCATGTGGAGAGGAGCCTTGATCCTCACCTGACAATGCGTTTGTAAACTTCATGTATTATGCGGTTTATAATGGACTGTGGTACAGAAACAGTGAGCTTACATTTTCCTGTTATCTGTTAGTGGTCATACTGCACTAGATGTGATAGTGTTTGAGATTTTTACTTTGGTATGTCCAGATGAGCCAACCCTCCCAAGATTTAACAAAATGCATGATTACAGTACAGTAAAATAATGTATTACAGGAGTATGTGACGTGTAGCACTTCATTTATTAATGATTGATCAGGTCAAAATTTTAATTGTGCAATACTTTGGTTCATGACCATCAGCCTTAGGCCCCATCCACACTACTACGTTTTCGATTTAAAACAGAGACCTTTTGCTACGTTTGCACCTCGCGTCCAGACTAAAACAACGAAAACTTAAAACACTGCCGACCCCGTTTTGCGTTTCAAAACTCTGGAGGGCGTTTTAGTGAAGAACGGATGACTTTAGAAACGATGACGCAGCTGCTCACGCTCGGCTATTTGATTGGGTCTTGCAAAGCAGAAACACCATGCTACATTGTATTTTTATTATAACATTATGTACTGTGCAAATAACACTTATCTGCCTACACTCGTACTGTGCATGTCGCTGTTTCCTTTGTGAAAACTCCCAGTCCCATACTCCCGTGTTACATTCAGCAACAGTCCCAGCTCGTTATTGGTGCATGCAAAAAAAAAAAAAACTGGTCTGATGCTTTCTCTGTATTTATTTATTCTTTCGCCAAATCTTATGTAACTACAGAATAGACCATTTGCTTCATGTTTACACCGGCACGCGCATGCCCAGTGTACCTGAACGGGCCCTACTGTGCGTTTTCAGTCGTTGTGTAATGTAGACGGAGATCAACTCCAAAACGCAGCTAAAACGCTGGTGTGGACGGAGATTCGTTTTAATTCGCCGTTTGTCAACTAAAACGGAGTAGTGTGGATGGGGCCTTAGCTGCATTTTGTGTGCAGTTCTATGTAGCTCACTAAGTGACCATATTTGGTAAGAGGGTGGAGCTGGGTAGGGATATGCATTGCTACACCTTACAGGTTGCTGTGGCATAAAGCATCGCCTGCTTTATCGTCTATTTTCCTCTAAATGGGATCATAATTTACTAAATGAACATTATGTGTTGAAGACGAAAAGCTATTGACAGAGACCATAAACTCATTAGGATTGTGTTTACTGAGCTAATAAATCAGGTGAGAAGTAGTCTCATTTTCTCACTGACTGCATTGCAATCGGACTCCTTTTTGCAACCTGTGGAGTCGCCTCCTGCTGGCCATTAGAAAGAATGCCAGTTTAAGGCACATTTTTCAGACCCAGAGTTTCCCACTTGTTTGCAATGCTAACGTGCTAAACTAAGATAGTGAAAATATATAATGTAAATATTACCTTATTATCATTAGTATGCCAACATTTTGAGCATGTTTAGTTCATGTTTAGTTCATATTTAGTTCAAAGAACCAATCACAGTATAGCCTCTGTCCTCTTTTTTACATTTGTTGTCTCACACTGAGGGGGAGGAATGGAAATAGGTAGTGCTTCCCACCACCCCACCCTCCCCTCCTCTTTAACTGTTGACTAGGGCCTTTGCACAATCTGTTTGACCTCCTGTTGTATGCTGCTGATTCTTAGTGCTTGTTTGCCTTCCTGTGTACAAGGGTATGCTGCTGATTCAGTTCTTCTTCTCACCCCATTAACTTAGCAATAAGTAACCACACTTCCCCTAGGTGTCTCCATGCATCGCTCTTCTCACTCTACTGACTACTATATCTTGGCAGTGCTGTCTTCACAGTCCTTAAATTTAATATATTATGTGACATATAGATCGGCTACAGCATCATTAAAGTCAACACTTTTTAACTAAACAGGATTCGATCAGGCGATGTTTCAGCTCTCAGTTGAAAGCTTCACCATCAGCGGTACCTCTGCTTATTAGGTCCACCACTTAACTGTTTGTGTTTGTATAAGTGATCAATAGATAGAGTTCAAATAAATAAGGTTAACGTGTCAACCAGTAACATGACACATTAACAGTACAACACAAATAAGATGTAAAAGGTCAACTTCTTTTAACTTAAACATGATCTCACAACCTGCGCCAATCTCATATATATATGCTGAAGTTTAATGATTCTGTCTCAGAGTTAAGAGCAACAAGAACAAAGTATGACATTTTAGACCAGCTTTCTGGTGTGTAACTGATTAAACTGTTAATGGTTAATGAAATAACTTCTTATTAATATAGCAAACCTTTGAGACAATCACTGCATCTGGTAGTGAAACAACCCTTTTAAACTACTGGTGTTTTTGCAACTACCAAGTGCTGACCATTTTTGTATGTATTATATACGTGTTTAGATTTTGAGGATGAAAATCAATGAGCAGATGATGAACATCAAGTCTGCATCATTTATTTTGTCAGTGCTACATTATCAAGTCCAAATGGAGATTAAATTGAAAAGTCTGCACTGCATTACCTCTTCACGATGTTACTTTAACAAAATCAGTGTGCAATGACTTGATGTTCACTGTGATGGATTATGCAACTCAAGCAACTTTCAAGAGTTTGAGTTTGCTAATACTTTTTTATATTGTAGAAATGGGAATTGTAGCCAATGAATGTATTGCAAGTTTTAGCCCATTTATTAATAACAAATTAACAATTAACAAACTATTACCAAATAATGTATGCTTGAGAGCTAATGATTTAGCAAACAATGCTGCAGTGTTTTAGACAAATGTTATCTTCCATCTCAGGCTTCCATACATTTTTTATACATTATGAAAATTTGGAACATCTGTTAGGACAGGGCAGTGGACAGGATCTGTAGTGGGAGCACAGTTTTTCGATTAAACCATGAATATGACAAATGTCAAATGTTCAGCTGTAAAAACCTACTTATTCTTAGACTGATAGAGACTACTTTAAACTTCTTCAATTATTTTGAAATATGCATCGCTATGTGTAACAATCTTTCACATTGCCGCTCTGCTGTCACAGTGATATTTTCTGTGATTTAATGTGAAGTCTTTGTCATGCACATGCTGACATGTAGATTATACACCTGGGTACATCTATATTTATATGTATAAGCTTTCTTCAGGAGAAATCTAGCTGGGAAAAGTTTTGCATATAAAAGTAAAACATGCTACTGTACAAAGCCATTTTAACCAAGTTACTTAATCATTGTTAGTAGTCCCATACAATTAAGTAATTTCCTTATATTTTTGCTTTGCCATCAGTATAATAGGTTGGTTAGTTTATCAAGTCAAAAGGCCCTTTGAGAAAGTGTATTAGATTCAAACTTTTCTGCTGCTGAACAAATGCAAAGTTGTGACCTAAATAAAAATATATAAAATTAGATAGAACCTTATTGTTAAAATTAAGTTTAACACATTTCTGTGACTTTTAGGCCCTGCAATTTGTTAAACATGAAGACTCTGCAAGAACATACAGACACCCTGTTTTTACAAGATCAATGTCACAATTACTGTTTTGTTAAAGATCCTATCACTAGTCGTACACACTTTGCTTTTCTGGACTAGATGGAGGCCAGATCAAAAGAGGATGTTTTCCAGGAGCCGCTAATGGCTTCTGAGAAAACACAGGATACACAAACTCCAGCCTGATGTATCATCTGCCTCTGAATTCATACACAATCTCATTACATGTTTTAGCCATTTTTTATGAACTCAATGTAAGTTAAAATAAATTCTCGAATTGATGTTAAAAACTGATCTTTACTGTGAAGTCTCAAAAGATGCATTAGGAGTTTGTTTGTGTAAGGAGAACTGCATTCACAAATACCTGCATCACTGCAATCTGCTGTTAGACAACGAGCTTACCTTTGCCAGCGATTACTTTTACTCCATATGGCTCATGGTCTACCTGTCGCCCATCAGAATAATCACAAGGAAATAAGAAAACATCCAAAAGGCTTTGACTGCAGAGCAGCTATATGTCAACAGCTTTAAATACACCTTTTCCCGGTCATTTAAAAAGATCAGAAAAGATCAGCTAGTGACCAGCGTAGTAGCAGTTTGGGTGATCAGTGACCTTGACAGTTGGAACACTTCAGCTTCACCTTTTTCTGCTTCTTCTCTGAACAGTCTGACCAGTTTCTATGGTAATTCGGTCCCTCCCTCTGTGTCATCCAATTCTTCTTCCCTGCTTCACCTTTGTGTGTGTGTGACTCCCTCTCTTCTCACCTGTTGAGCATGTTTTGTAACCAAGGCTACACACAGACAGATGAATGGATACCACCCATACATTTACATGTACGCACTTCTGAGGCAGTCCATTGATTTCCAGTCCCTGTACACTCCCTGGTTTTGTAGTGGTGCCAAATACCCAACTTTCCTCTGTCTGATCACAAGTGTTTTCAGTTAGTTTCGGCTTTCGTCAGACACTCTGAAGGGGATCCTACCATACCAGGAGAGCAATAAGGTAACGCACAGCAAAGTACAGGGCAAGTCCATATGAATACAATGAATTCTCATTAAATGATGTTTTTCTTGACATGTCAGAGAACACAGATATGTGGGAGTGATTCTGAATGTGCAGAAAGTTTTAAACAGGTGGTATTATGCTTTTCCCCTCTCCTTTACTGACTTATATACATTTTTTGTGCATGTAACAGGTTTGCAAAGTGAAAAAGCCCAAAGTCCAGGCCAAAGGGAGTTCCCATCTCCCACATAAAGCTCTGTTCTGAACCGCTTGAAAACAGCTTGTTTGTAGTCCAGCCCTTCACTTCCTTTACTTGTGACGTCACAATGGAAACGCGTCATAAAGCTTGCCAAGCGGCTAGCGGGGTCAGGCACGCCCTCAGACCAAGCTAGTCTGAGCGGAGGCCCTTTGGCTCGACTCGCCTTTGTTTGGTTTTCCATTGTAGAAATCTTGTACCTGCTTCCAGGTACTTTTTTTCGTATCACCTCACCTCCGTCGAGGTTCCAAGTGAGCTGAGGGATACTAAAATATAACGTGAAAACATACAGACTGTTGATTGGTCAGAGAGAATATTCACTATTCACTGCATCATCATTGCTGCACCAGACAGAGGCCAGCAACAGAAAGTTTTATATTTTACAGTTTTCTTATGGAATTTCATCACTAAATACACTTCTGAGAAGTTCTGAGGTGAGAAATCAGCTGTGTAGATTTAGAATATTGACAGTTTTACGAGAAGTGATGGCGGAACAAAAATGTGCTTGAATATTTTTGGAGTTGAGGAGCTCCGTGAGTGGCTGCGGGGGAAGCCTGCTGTGACCCGCGGGAGGAGCATGTGAGGCCGGCCAGCCGCCCGCTCACAGAGCCCTCTGCTCCCGCCGTCACACAGACCGCTGCAGCAACAACGGCAGAGGAAAACACAGCTGGAAGGTTTTCATACCGCTTATCTGTCTTTACGTTCTGACGAATGTTGAAACGTTTTAACTTAAAAAAGAGAAAGCTGTGCTGGTGTGTGTGTGTCGCATTGAACATTACGTTGCGGCAGTTGTGTGTGGCGTCGCTATGACGACAAGCTACGTACTATCTCTGGGTACTGTCTGCAATGGAAAACGGAGCAGGGTAGAGTCGAGTCTATCGATTTGCGCTAATGGTAGCATTTTTCGGCAAGGCAGCATAGATCGTCAGAACACCGGCAACAGTTCAACATTTAGTCCTAAAATCACAACACAATCACAACCTGTAAGTATGCTTTATTGGTTGTGAATTACATTTAAAATAAACACGGCAATGTAACTTCACAGGCTGTTCAAGTGCGGAGTTGTTGTAAACATTGGCTAACACAGCTAAAGTTATAGCTATAATGCTAACGTTTCAGCTGATGTGAAAGCTACTGAGCAAACGTTCATGTAACATGGAGTTGAAATATGGTGATTTTTGTAGTGGTTTATGGTAAGATGTTGATGATGATGGAACAATGATGTTGTGTGGTTGTGGACTTGTGAGTAACTTCTACCATCTGCTAGGTTACGGTCGCAGTCTGAAGCGGCTTTGATTTGGATCACACTACCTTGTTTCTTACGACCCGCCCTTCTCTGCTTCTGATTGGCTAGTAGTCCTTACCTGGGAACTGCGCATGTGCAACTCCCAACAAAGATTTTGTACAAGTAAGATGCATCACTCTGTAGCTCAAGAGCGGAGCGTACAACACACAGGGTGAAAAGAGGAGCTGCAGCAATGTGCAGTATGAGAAAAATATGGTGTTTTATGATAATGAAACCATGTAAACCTGTTCTGGTACAACCCCTAAATAAGATTTTGAACCTGAAAATGAGCATAATACCACCTCTTTAAGCATAAAGTTTCCATTAAACGGAAAGAGGATTGCTATTTGTTATTTACGTGGTTTCTGTAAAAACACACAGCTAGTGAGGATTTTGTCACAGAGATTGATTGCCAGTATAGCCAGTAGTTGAATGTGGTTACGCCCCTCTCTTTCATGCAGACTCTGTGTGGACCGTGCGGACTAATTCCAGCTCCCAGTGAATGAACACGACAGCTGGACCCGAGCACAGACTCTGAGACTGACTGAGGCCAGTTTGACCACTGGGAATACAGTACGAAGGTGGTTTTCTTGCCGGTTTGGCTTGTGTTACCCCGGGGCTGAGTCAACTAATGAGACTGTGTTCGGACCTGTTCATGTTGTGTTCACTGGGAGGCTGCTGAGTGCAGTTTTGTTGCCCGCTCACCCGGCACGGCTCCCGCAATCATTCCCCGCCGGGTCCCCCCGCCACTGGCCTGACAACCTCCAGTGCTTGAAAAGAGGTGTAAACCTAAACACACACTCCGGTGTTCCGAGTTCTCAACATGGGCAGAGTAAGTATGTAAATAAGCTAATTAGATAATGTCAGCTAGCTAGCAGCAGTTAGCTGACTTGCTACAGCAACAAGTAAAGCTATCTGTCCATCAGGGGAGTCAGTAAATCACAGAGTTGAGGCAGAGCAGCAGGAACATCAGAGAGAAAACCAGGAAATATTTTCCATCAAATATGATCCAGTTTCAGCAAAATCAGTGAATAAAGGTGTGCTTTTGTTCAGTAATCAGTGGTCCCAGAAACACTATTTTTCAGTAGTAGTTTAATAAAAATTAAAAAAGCTTTTCATTGGCCACTGAAAGAATGCAGGCCCCCCAGTGCAGGATGATTCATCGTTTTAAAATAGTTTTCCAGGAAATGACACTCTAAAATGCCTTCAATAATACATACAAAACAACAGGCCAGATCCTGCCATATGACTTACAGGCCTAGTGCAAGGCATCATATAAAAACATTTAGCCTTAAACATCAATTTTGATTTCATGGGAATGGGATATTTTATAATTGTATGTTTCTATAAAAATACACTGAGCAGACAACACATCTTGTCTTTATTTGTGCATTTGGTATTGAAGTAATACAAAAGTAACTAAAAGTAATCAGGTTACATTACTGATTAAATTTTTTAACAAGTAATTAGTAATTGTACTGGATTACATTAAGTAACCCTCCCAACCAATCTGACTGAGAGACATTTGACTGAGCATTTACTTTACAACTTCACACACGCATTATCAAATATTATATTCAAAGCATTATCACCCGAATATCTAACAAGGTTAATATAATACATTTTGGCTTCTCTCTTCTTGCCGACTTGTCTTTGAGTCCTTAAAAGCTGCGGTTAGAACACACAAACTCCGTTAACTTAGCATCGTTAGCAGCTTAGGACTGCTCGTATCTGGCTAATTAGTGTAACGAGCTAAGCTAACAAGCTATATGCCGACAGTTATTGTTGTTATTGTTAACACATATTGTTAACACAAATACAGGAATTTCACTCACCAACTGGAACACGGACTTCCTGGAGGTTCTCTCTCCAATAATCTGCATGTAGAAATGTCCAAACGGCTCCAACAGGCTGAGCCTCAGAGCTCTGTGAACGAGCTGAACTAATAGGTGGCAGTCGATGAATTGCATGTTTTCAGTCTTCCGAGATGGCCTCAGTCTGGAGACCAAAGTTTGCTGCTTGTACAGCTGTTTCTCAATCTGCGTTCTTGTCTGTACTTGTGTTCTTGTGGACTTGTGAAATGTCATCAGTTGCAGCCAAAGTACTGTTCCAATTCAAAAGTCTGCATCTAGCCAAGTACAGTCAAATACCCAGATGTGTTCACGTCTTCTTTAAAAAGCCCACTCTTGCAGGGGTTTTAGTCAGAATTTGAGGATCAGTCAGGCGCAGTGTTTTTCGGCTGAAACGCTTTGGTTGCTATGATGCATATTATCCGTGGAGGTGATGTGCTGCAAGTAGGCTACCTAATTTTACTGAATGTAAAAATGTCACCACAAAGTAGGGTAGGCATACTTGCTCTGCATGAAGAGAAGTCTGAAACATGGGGGCGGACACCACCAAAGTGTTTACCAGCTGAAAACGCCAGCTGGTAAAAAAGACACTGCCCTCAGGTGAAAAAATGCTTTGGTGGACCCAGGTAGGGCATGTGGACAAAGGCCAGAGCAAGTAGGCCTACCCTACTTTGGTGGACACCACCAAAGCGTTTCTTACCAGCTGAAAACGCCAGCTGCTCTTCTGAAAATGCCTAGCTGGGAGCGCTAGGGTGCGCTTTGGAGACACAGCGTTTTGAACCGCTTTGGTTGCTATGATGGATAATATCTGTGGAGGTGATGTGCTGCAAGTAGGCTACCTAATTTTACTGAATGTAAAAATGTCACCACAAAGTAGGGTAGGCCTACTTGCTCTGCATGAAGAGAAGTCTGAAACATGTAGAGCGAGGGGAGGGACTCGCTGTACGTGGGTTCATGAGATTTTGAGAGTGAGGAAACACCTCGGCGAGCAGGCACATCGTTTCGCTCAAGAGCAGAGATGGCTCGGTGTGGTGAGCGCTGCGTTTCACCCAAAATTGAACATTTTTCAATTCTCTGCGACCTGAACAAGATGCTCAGTGTGGAATAGACGCTAGCGCCTTGTCGCACTGCAGCCGTTTTTACCATGTCGTACATATACAGGGTTCTCATTGCAATTTATTGAAAAACGATGCTGGGCTGAGAAAAACTCTTTTGTTGACACAAGCCCTTAAGCCTA